ACCAGGAAGGAGGAAAACACATTTTTCCACCACCCAGGAGAAGTACAGGTTTTCTATATGGTGATTTACATTTACACAGGGTCTACAATATATTTATTTATACATTCCTTTTTTTTTTTTTTTTTGTATTAGAAAACAGGAATTACAAAAAAAAAAAGTAGAGGAGAGAGAAGAGTAGAGTTGGGAGAAATTAAAAGTATGCTGAAACCTCACGCCCACACCACTTTGTTCAACCTATGCTTCAGGTCTAAGAGACTTAGTAAGACAACTTCTCAAAAGCAACCAGCTAATTCAAAATCCTATGGCCAGACACTGCAGCGTTCTAGAAAATCTCTTTTTCCACAGAAAGACCCCTGTAGTATTCTGATAGCAAAGGGTATTTTGTTTTTAACCACTCTGCTGTTTAGTTTGCTGTGTGGCTGCTGAGATGGAAAAACAACTCTCTGTACCCACTTTCAGCTCTTGCAATGTGCTTTTCCACCCCTTTTAAGTGTGAGGAGTTGCACATACATTTAGGAACATTCTAGAGATAACAAACAGGTCCCACAGGGTAATTTAGGTATCTATTTTTTCTCCCTTTACTGCGAGATGCAATAGGCAAGGGATGTCAAATGAAGCTCAAAAAAGCCAAAAAGGAAACCACAGGTTTTATTATTTTTGTTGTTGTTGTTCAGAGCTTATGTTTAGTGAGGCCTCATATCTCTCAGCATGAGCTTTTTTGTTGTGCTTTTCTGTCATTTTATTGTTCTACCTTGGCTCACCTGGAGACATTCTGTGAACTCAGATAATCCTGATGTCATCCTGATGCAGATAAACACTCTAATTTTGCTCTTCCAACTTTCTCAGACCCCAAGAGAGATACCTGGAGATAAGACGTTCCAGTTTCAGTGGCAAAGGTCTTCTTTGACAATACATGTTTTGGGAAATAAGGCAGATTGTTTACCCTCTGGTGGTAGTTTTACTCTCTTTGATTCACACAATATAAGGCAGAAAATTCCTTTCTAATGTCTGGTTCTGTTTATGCCTCTTCCTCCAGCTTCCTAATTCCACCTGAAGAGAAAGGTCATCAAAGTGAGATTGACAACATGCTGTATTGATGTGAACTTCTGTGCATCTCCCTGTGCTCGAAAGCAGGTTTTAGTTCTTCTCCTCAGTTACAACTCTGCTCTTGAAGGCTCTGCAAGATAAACAGGAGCATCCTGGAGGCACTTTAGCTTAAGCTGCCTGGAAGTGGCCACAAGGCATTGACATCTCAGTTTGTGCTCTGTAACTGGGTCAGGCTATGCTGGCAACAGAAAGTTTGAGTGGTATGAAGCCCTTCTTCCAAGCAGTGGTAAAACTCCCACCAACTTCAACAGCACTGGAATTTCATTCCTTCCATCTATTTTGGGGCAGGGCTTCTTCCCCAATAGATTACTTACTGGTAATTAAACAAGGCTGTAGCACTGGTGAGATGCAGATGTGGCTCCACTGGACTGGAGATCACAAGTCTAAGAATTAATCTGAGGATTAATTTTTGATCCTCAAAATCCTTACAACAAAGCTTCAGATAAGATCTGCTATTACAACAGTTGTAACAGCTTTATTCCAGAAATGGAGGTAGTCCTTTTTTTCAAAGAGGGATCGCATACAGAAATAATATTTTACTGCCTTTTTAAAAAAATCTTTGATATCTTAAAGACAAAGAAATAGAGGTATCTTTCTCTGTGGGCAAATTGTGAGGTTCTGGTTCAAGCGTACAACCTCCATCACGTCACTGTATGCCAGAGAACTGGTGTGGGTGCTATAGCACATACAAGCATATTGCATGCATAGCAGGTAGGCGTACCTCCAGTAAATATTTTACTCTGTCAGGACAAAAGATTTGATGTAAAGAATGCAAAACAATCATACAACCAATGAAGTAAGTGAACCAACTTCTGCTCAGGCCCTTTCACCCAGGAGGTCTTTGGCTGGGGCTCATTTATTCTCCTTGCTAGAGCATGGCCAGCTGAGCAAGCAAGGAATGTGTGTAACTTGCAATAGGTCAGTAGCCACATAGAGGTCAATGAAACTGCTCACATGCTGAAGCCAATGAAGTTAACCCATGCTCAAGTAAAATGCATGCTTACTGTGCTTTGCTGGGTCAGCACCTGTCTCATGAGTAAAGTCCAAGAATTGCTGCAGCTTCCACTTCCTCTTTAAAAAGCTTCCTTTTACCTCCATGATGAATGTGTCTTCTCCTGATGGACTGGCAGAGCTCTGCCTTTACACTACAACAAGCTAATGCATGAGCAATATCAGATGCACCCTGTACAAGTTACCAAATCTCTGCTTCTTTAATCCAGCCTAGCAGGACAGACTGGTACATGTCAGCATGTGCCTTTGTCAAACTGTGACCTTCAGTTGACATTACAGCTGCTGTCTTGAAGAGTATGACCTATTTTAATTACATAAGGTAGCTGCAGAAAGCTACCAAGCACAGAATAGGGACAGTTCATGCCAGGTTCAACACTGTCTAGGGTCAACACCACTAGACTCAGCTTCCAAACATGGACTTCTGCTGCAGTGTCACTGAGTTTCTTATAGAAGTGATATCCACAGTAGACAGAAATAGGGATTAAACAATGTCCACACCAACACATCTTCTCTCGGACTGTGAAATCCACACATGAGATTTCCATGTGCCTTTTGGGCAGCTGAACTGTTATCTCTCTTCCAGCCCTATTCACACATTGACTTAACCTATCTCAAGTAAACGCCATTATTATGCTACAAACATATAAAATTGCTTTTGTTTAACATGACATTTGAATTTATGAAAAAGTCTTTGCTCTGAAATCCAATTATTGACTAACACTGCTAAGCATGTACATGTAAATAGCTCATTCCCAGATCCTCTTCTGACCTTTTCCTGTAATTGCCATTAGATTTTAAACCACAAGTTTGGCAGAACTGTTGCTGAGAAAGGACTTTTACCATCCTCACCACAAAACTGTAGGTAACATATGCAGAAATAAACACCCAAGGTCAAATTCTCTCTCACTTCATTATTGACTTTCACCAACAGCTTTGCAATGAGAATGGATTTGTTCTTTTACCCATGGATTTGTTCTTTTACCCTAAACACACATCCACCTTGCTAACATTTCTGGTTGTTGAAGAAAGCAGGTTTGTCAACAGTCTGTTTCTTGTAGCACTGATCCTGGCGACTTCACATCATCTCCTATGAACTTTCTGGCTTAGGATGTTGTTCAGTTTCCAGCTCACTATGAAATTCATTTGAAGCCCATACCTAAGATCCTCTAAAGAAGAAACCACAACACAGCTATCAGATCTGTCAGCAATGACACTTTTGAAGCCTGGCTTCCAATGGGAAGTTTACCTCACATCTAAGGAAGGAAGCCTGATAGAAAACCCTCCTGTGATTAAGATTTTCATAATGGTAATCTCTTATGTGGAGTATCCTCGTAAGGGGGTGTCGAGAGGCAGGAGACCTTTTCTCCATTAACACCAGTGACAGGACCCGCGGGAACGGGGTTAAGCTGAGGCAGGGGAAATTTAGGCTTGACATCAGGAGGGGGTTCTTCACAGAGAGGGTGGTTGCACACTGGAACAGGCTCCCCAGGGAAGTGGTCACTGCACCGAGCCTGACTGAATTTAAGAGATTGGACTGTGCACTTAGTCACATGGTCTGAACTTTTGGGTAGACCTGTGCGGTGTCAAGAGTTGGACTTGATGATCCTTAAGGGTCCCTTCCAACTCAGGATATTCTATGATTCTATGATTCTATGAGTCTCTGGTATCTGTTAACACAGTTGGGTTCATAGCTCAATTACGTGAATGCTTTGATGTCTCATTATGCAGTTAAGCCCTTGCTTCCTGAGGCTCTCCTCTCTCCAGAAACTAATTTCTATGGAACTCATAGGAATCTTAATATCTCTGATAATGCTGTTATTATGCCACCATCAGCCAGTAGTTTCAAGAAGCATTTGGCAAGAGGGAGGCTAGGGAGACAGGTAGTAAGGGATAGTCAGTTCTATTGCCTAAGTATCTTTTTCTGAGAATTTTTCTGAGGTTAAACACACTATTATACATCCCAACAAATGGGCACTGCGATAATCTGGATGAAACTCCATTTCTTGGCTAAGCGGACGTCATCTTACTTCTTTCCTCCATTTTCATCACCTGCCTTCAGATTATCCAGCCCTTTAAAACAACTTCAGACACAGTACTAATTCATATGACCGTGAAAATCGAAGAATAACTTTAAGTGTGAGAAACTATATCCCTTGTCTGCTATAAATCTTTTTTTAAAAAACAAACAAACAAACATACATACAAAAAAACAACAGCAGCAAAAAACACCACTAGCCAAGAAAATCTCAGCATCCCCAGCCCCTTAGGAAATCTACTCCCAACTCTCTCCCTCATCCCCTTTCTCCCCAACACAAGCTCATGCAACTAAGAAAACAATTTCTTAAACTTGCCCTTTGCCTGTAATTCCTCTTTTTGTTTCTCTTCACTACTAAAAAAATCTAACACTGAACGCAAATATCAGCGGCCAGTCTTAATGTTTTTGTATCAACAGTTTTGACAGAATTTGGTTCCAGTGACCAAATATGACTATGATTCAACCATAAATTACATACTCACTTTGTTGCCTACTACAGGTGAGAATCTTCATGTCCAGAGCAGCTAATGAAGCAACATTCAGCATTTCATGGAAGTCATGTCATTACCACATGCATTGGCCTGCCTGCAAAAATTCTTACTTTAAGCCTCACTGTTTCAAAATCAGCCTTTATTCTTGGACCCTCTAGGTCTTAAGGCATGCAATCAGAGCCTCTACATACCTATTTCTAGATATGACCAGGACCACATTTAATTGCACAGAAGCTCTAGCAGTCTGCAGAACTTTTCAATGAAGGATTAAAACCAGAGGCCGCTAAAGCAGACTTGAGCAATACAGTAGAAAAAGAGAGATAAAGAAAACAACCAGAGAAAAGTAACCAGTGTACCTGGAGTATTAATAGCATCTGAATAATAGATGGTGGAACTCTTGCTCTGGAACGTGATAATGCATCTTCCAGTTTAATATTGAGGGTAATTATATTCCTAAAGTGTAGAAGAGCCAGCTGCCGAACCGAGGGCTCCTTCCCCTTAGAACAGGAACAAAGCAAAACAGATTATGAGCAGTGTGAAAATAAGCTTCCAAATCCTCAGAGAAAATTCTTTCCTTCACTTGTGATGGATTACAGCAATGGTAAACATAAGTGAAAAGCTGAGAAAATAGAACAAAGGACACAGAATAGCCCATTGTTCCGCACAGTGAATTTGGTTTAGCAGTTCTGAATGCTGCAGACTATGAATGAGTACAACTGTGCATGAAGACGATGAGAGATGGGGGGGAAGGGCAGGCAGAAATCTTACCTGAATGCAAGATATATAACAATATTTTTTATTCTTACAGCAAGGAAATATATAGTATACTTAAAAAAAAAAAAAAAAAAAGTTTAAAAAGCAGGGTTGAATTTTCATTATTTCCCCAAGGTTTTGAGCACTGGCTGGGTACTCTCCTCAAATTATGGTGTGAAACCTGACTCAGCCCACCTGTGTATCCCACTGTTCTGTACAGCTTGAGAGACTTTGATATAAGAGAAGAGTAGAGCTGAATTTTCATACTGAATTTTCAAAAACAACTTTTTGCTGTACAAGAATCATACCTCATTTAAAAAAAATCTCTTCTGAAGAATGTGACGCTAGCTCTGCCTGCAGAGATTAACAGCACTTGCCTTATGCCTGACGAGAAATTGTAAAACTCCTCCAATTGCTGGGATCAGGCCTTTTTTGTCAGATATATGTGTCTATACACACATATTCTTTCTTGCAGTTCTGAGTGCTGCCAGTCAAACAACACTTCTGAAAAGTCTAGTATTCAACTAATACTGACTTATCTTAGTTTGGAAATAAAGACACCTGATCCCTCCCCACGCTTATTCCTTTTCACTTTGTATAATTATTTTTACCAAAGTAAAGGCATCCCCCAGATCTGCTTAAATTGCTAATGAATAGATTTTCCAAGAGCACATAAGCACCAGCTGGGTTTTTGGAAGTAACCTTAGAACATCAGACACTTAGATCTATCAGAAATTACCTGAGATTTGGGGCTCTTACCCCCTTCATGCTCCTTTGAAAATACTAGCAATTATTTCCACTTGAAAAATGAGGAGACTCGCGTTGCTAAATTACTTTGAAGTGTCTCATGAATACAACAGTGGAAAGAGGCACTTGGTGCAATTTTCAAAAACATCTAAGTGAGTTCTAATTTAGTTAAGCACTTTTGAAAATCATGTTGAAAGCTTATCTATATCCCTAGGTTCCTAAACACTTTGAATTTAGATTATGTGGCACTTAAAATCTCACATGATGTTACAATATGTTTTTAATACAGCCTTCTTTTTACCATTTTAAACTTTCTACTGGCCAGACATAAGTCAATGGGTGATCTAGCCCTGTATGTTTTCAGAGCTCTTCTCTTTCAGAATCAAAATTCAGGGGAAGTTAGAGCTTTTCCACTGAATTCAGATTTGATGCCTGCAATTAACTATAGATATCAATGCTAGTATCAATAACATTTGGACAATTATTTTACGCATAAAGTCCACTGGGATAAATGGGAGAAAGTTTTCGACGCTTCTCCAAATGTTTAGGCACCAAAATTCCACTGAAATCTATAGGCATCTAGGAGCAACTCCTGGAGGTCACTTACACCTATCTGGGACAGATTTCCTTGGGACTTTAGTGATAAACAACAGTTTTGTGACCATCAAGTTAGAAGTCTGAGCCTTCATCCAAATCAGATCAAGTACCAATCTATTGTGGATTTAAAACTACTGGAATCAAATTCTGTGCTCATGTCAACTGGTCTAATTCTACTGACTACTGGTGTCTACTTTGAGTAGTACAGAACTTGACCTCAGAAATACAACTCCACAAAAATGAAGATACTTCACAGACATTCATATGGCTGAGGAGGAAATATGTACATAGAAGTCAACACAGCTCCATTTACTTCACTGTGCGCATATTTCAGTTTATTTTTCATAACGGTTTTGGACTTCTAGTGTGAGCTGGCATAAGGATCAACCATCTTCCCTGCACTCTGCTCTTGTTTTCAAAGTTCCCCTTCATCTTGTTCACTCAAACACTTCAAACCCTTGTTTGCCTAAATAACTTATTTGCATGACTATACAGAACAGCTGTAATGGGAGGTTGGCCCAAGGAGACATAGAGTTAAGGATTGTATCAGTCTGTTGATGAACCAGTAAGGTTGCTTTTTCCAGTTTTTCAAGATTCTATAGTAATAGAGTAATTTTTCACCTGCACAGGATAGAAAATAGCCTGAAGCATGGGCAGGACATCACTGAAGAAAAAATCCCAGGTTTCAGCTAAAGTATCCAGTAGTTTCTGCCCTGCAAAAACACAAAACAAACTAGTGAACTGTTTAGGTTGTAATCATCTAACTGCAAAGGCTTAAAAAGCACGGGAAATGATATGAATCTGCGAGCTCTACACAAAGATGAATCCTTTACCAGATACTTTCAGTAGCATGGAATTAGTATTCCTCTCAGCGTATCAAATCATTCAGTATTCATGTCTTTTCAGATGACACATCTAATGTTCTCAGTAAACTCAGAGACTTTGAGGTTAAAGCTTGCTCAGAAAAACCCTGTGAGGAATTAAGAATATCCCAGGTTACCATCTCCTCTTCTTGCAGTAGTACCTACTGGACAAGATTGCGGAGAACAGCAGTAGAAGGAGGACAAAGCAGATTCAATGTGGAAGCATTCTTGCAGAAAAATCTCCCCCACCACATCCCCCTCTGCCCTCCAAGCCACAAGGCAGCAAAGCAAGCCTCCCTCTGTGGAGATGCCTCTACAAAGCACCACCTCAAGATTAATCCCTTGGCTTCCCTGTATCTCCACTTACATAAACAATTGTATCCAAGACCTATGAAAAAAGAGAAAGTGGCACTGGCAGGCTCTCCTTTTTCCTATAGCTTTCAAAGGATAGTCAAAACCTGCCATGACGTGAGTTCTCTGCAGCCTTCTCCAATCTGCTGCAAAAGCTGCAAAGGGCAGCTGCAGCTATGTGGAAGACTCCACAGTAGAGATCAGAGAAGCTCCAGCTAGTTTGCACAACCAGGCTGGACACTGAGTTTCTCACAGAAAATTTTACAAAACACAGAGGCAAAAGCAGGAGCTGAGAGCTATGGGAGAGGAAGTCTGGCTCAACAGTTGAACGCTGAATTCAAATCTGTGTTCCCCCAAGTGGCCTGCCCCCTATTTGGCAAGCTCTTTAGTATCCCTGTGCCCCTCTTCTGTGAAACGGGGACAGTTGTATGTCCACCAGCAAGAATTAAGGAGATAAGTATTTGAATACCTCACAGTCATACATGTAAGATAGTATGACTTATCAAGCAAATTCGATAGCAATCCATCAATAATCGGTGTCAGAATCAGATACCATTAATACTTATAGCATTAGTTAAGGCTTCAGCCATGCAACATCCTGCCCAGAATTGTGCACACATCCCAAAGTTTGCATGAAAACATCTACACTAAAAGTTAGCCAAATGCCAATCTTTATTATCAGTTACTTCATCTCACTGCATTTTAAAGTGCATGACAAACAGCACCAGCTCCGGCCTTCTGCAACTCCTGAACTATTCCTGGGTTGATGACTTTAAGTTCTTCCAGTGACAAATCTGGATCGCCATGCTATACTGCAGCTGCTGGCTTGTGAACCCTTCCAAGGCCTTCATTTCTGCAGCATCAGAAAGGGATTCTCTCTGTCCTACACCACGCTCATGCACAAGACTGAAAAGGTTGTTCTCATTTTCAACGAATTTGTCTTTTTCCTAGCAGTTGTAGCAGTGGTAATAATAACAAAAACCACTGCATAATAACTCCCATATACTGTAAATATTTTAAAGAAAGAAAACCTTGTCACAAAGGAGAACTCCAACTACTCCTTAAGAGATTTTAAAAAATAGTAAAACAATTAGTTGTCTTTAAGCCAAGGCTGAATGAAAACTAAGCCCTTAAAAATTTGGTTCCAAATGTGGGTGCTGAAGATTTAGACTTGCATCCCTTTTCAAATTTTGCTCCTAGAATTGTATCAAATGAAAATATCCTATTGTGATAAACATGCCCTTGGTGTAGCAACATTCCTTTCATCTTGTGGGCAGTTTGTTCTGTAAAGTCATGGATTTCTATGCAGCAGCTCAGAAAGGCTGCAGTTAACCGTCTTTTGCCAAGCAGGTTTTTAACTGTGGACTATGGAAGAATTCCTGCAGTGTGTTGACAATTAGCATCTTTCACACCAAGGAATGTGACTGCCCCGTCCTTTCAAGATTCTGCTTGTTTTACTGTCAGGCAAAGATCCCTACACTTACTTATTTGCTGTATTCAAGGAAGCTATGCTACTCTCAGTGCTCATTTAAATGAAGCATAAGTCAGTTTTCTATGACATGCAAATGCACATAGGACTTTTCACAGTGCTTCTGAAAGTTAATTGAAACTTCTTAAGGAAATACAAGAATAAAACATAATTGATTGTTTCATAATAAAAGCTAAACTTGTCAAAACTTCCTGCAGAACAAAAACATGCTATAGCGTGTCCTGAAATTATCTTTGCTCTCCCCAAAACCATCAAATGGATAGGGAAACCCAAACCATTAGATATAGCACAACCTGACATTTGAGCACACGACCCCTGCTGCTGCAGACCCAGGAGAGGAGACCTGCTCAGAACGGGAGCTCCCATAACTTCCAGGCTCCCAGCTTTGTGGCAGGGATTTTGGGAGACATGGGGCCACCACCTACAGGATGGACTCTATAGTGTTGCTGCCTGGAAATCCAGATTCCAGCCCTGGAAACTCACATCCATGAAACAGATTCATAAACTACAGCTAACTTCCCGTAACTTGGAGTTTTATTGTGCTGACATTTCCATGTTTTTTCCATGTGTTCAACCGATCAATTTAATCCTCATCTCACCAGCATTTCTTGACCATATTTTAAAGAGAAATCAAATCATGAAGTGATACACCAAGTTCAAAATGACAAAATATCAACCAACCAACCAAACAAAACCAACCACCTAACCAAAAAGAAACAAAACAAAACTTCACAGCTTGCTGAAATTTTGTATTTGGTAAACATGTTCCTATATTTGAAAGCCACTTAGTGGTCTTACATTTCAGTATTTCTTCTCAGCTTTAATCTCAAACATCAGTTATACTATTTTTAATTTTCAAGCTAGTAAAACCAGAAGAACAAGGGATTGGACCTTGGTACTTCTCTGCATCTAATTTTTCAATTTGGTACTTAAAAAAACAACTTTCATTGTGATTTACAAATTTAAAGGTATTTATTCCTTTACCGCTCTAGTCAATCACTTCTCCCTAATGAAAGCAAATAGGAACACCAAGGCACAACAGAACAAAATGAACTGATACCAGCTAATCCACAGTCAAGGGAAGTTTGCAGGAAAAATTGCGCTGCCTTCAAAATACATTTGCTAAAACTCCTGTGACAGACACAGATAGCCATACTAAAATCCAAGTTACCTTCATAAAACCGGATCTTGTCCCTTAGGATCACCATGCCTTTTGTGAGCAGCTGATTCTGAAAATAAAAATAGACTACCTTAACTCAATTCTATACTTCCCTCTAGCTATCATATTTCACATTTTATTCTTTCTTAACTTTTGACAGTAGAAGAGGTTTCATTTTAATGATCAATCACTGAAGGACTTATCCTGCCATGTCCAACTTGCTTAAATCACTTGGAACACTTTTCAAATGATGCTGTAATCACGTACTGTTTTCAGGATGCAGCACCTACTCTGCGCAATGCAAAATACTTCTCAGACTTCAAATGGTGACCCACACAGCCTGTACTGTCTTAGAGAAGAATACTGCCTCAACAGACAGTGTGTACTTGTAACTAAATGTCTTTCCTAGGAACCATACTACAATGAAATTAACTGGTTTACTGAGGAACTTTAAGTGATAAGTGAATGTCTGAAGTCCACTGGAAGACAGCAATGTCATACAAAAATACACTGACTACACAAGTCTATTTCATAAGCTAGGGTTTCACTATCCAACTACATGTATATAAAATCCAAATCTCATTAGCCCATAAATGACAGAACATAGAGAATTCATGAAAATCTCTGAATGGTTTCAAGGGGCTCCAGATCAGCATTTAGAGTTGAAGATTTTGCTCAGTAACACTTAAAAATATATTCTGATTTTAAATGAAAGAAAACACATGCCTACCTGTAAATATTCAGTGAAAAAGGATCCCAGTTCTGTTTTCAATAATTGCCTGTATCAAAAAGAATAAGAAAAGGATCTCTGTAATCAACAAATTGTAATAGCTGTGCTAAAAGGGGAAGTTACTAGTAGCAAAATATTTTCACATGAGCACACAGCCTGTCAATAATGTCTAACTAAAAATAAAACGGGGCCAACAATACTAAGACTCTCAACCAGCATTTCTATGTGGTGAAAAACACCTGCTGTGCTTTTACATGGTTCATTTCATGAATACATATGAAAAGAAACAGAGATTTGACAAAGAGGATGCATTTGATCCTCCATCTAACTCTTTTAAAAATGCTCGAGCTGTTCTCCTTCTGTGCCAGGGTTTGACTAGTGTCTGCAAATGTGGGAGAAGTCTTGGCACTCTGTGTCTATCAGTGTGGCTGAGCCAACAAACAAGCACATGATTTGGCTGAGGTGTGTTCATAGCCAAATCATCTCTGTTCTGTGTAACTCTCAAAAAAGAGCCGTGACAAAATGTTTAGGGAGAAACCTTAGACAGGTTTATACTCTGGGTTTTCTTTCAGGCATGAAACTTGGCCTGTTTTCATTGAAAGAGGCCATGATATTACAAGTCAGGACCCGCAACAGATGAAGTTTTGTGTGGTTTCAGTGAAAAAGCAGGTATAAATTCAATAGTTCAGCTCTGCATTTCACGATGCCTCTACACTAAGACTTACAAACTCATTTCACAGAGCAATTCAAACTCACATCCAAAAAAAATTTCCATGAACATTCTTCAAATTCAGAGACTGCATTCATCCAGACCCATAAACCCAAGGCTTGTATCCAAAGAAAAATTACTACACTGCTTAAGAGCTGTGTATTGTTTAAGTCTCACATATCGCATGCTAGATGTTTAGTATTTCTTTGCACTGAGGTCACTATTTAAATGCATAAATGAGAGCTCAGACCATATAAAAATCTTGTTCCAACTGGACTTTCTCAACTCTTGTCAATCTGGTCTTGACATTTTATGGAAACCTATCCTATTGTGATCACCTCACGTACCATAAGAAATGAGGTAAAATTCTTCTTAATATCTAAAGACCTGCTTCAGCTAAAGAACTCAATGTTTTGATCACTCGTGTAGTTATATAAATTACTATTTAGTGGCTTGTTATCATCCATCCTTTTGGGTTATGTCTTTAACAAACAAATAACTAATTAAATAAAGTATTTTAACTAGTAAGCAAATACACATCTGTTTTAAAAGTTCCAGAATATCCCTATGCTCCACAAAAAGATCTGCAGGAGTTGGAGTTTGATGTTTATAACACCACAGGATTCAACACAGTCTCTTGAAATCTTCTGAAAGTTCAGGGAAAGGAAGAGCAGGTCAATCTTAGGGGGCCAAAATACAATATCGTATTTATTTATCCTTGAGAACACATCCACAAAGATCTCATAGCACCCTGTGGAAACACTCTAGGCATAAATGAAATAGAAAATAAACTGAAGGAAAGTTCAGAAGCTCATAAGCATCAAAACCCTCTTCAGCTACAAACCTGACTGAGACAAACAGTCAACACACAAATATTATCAAAGCCAGCTCAAGGCTTTAGCCATAGGTCTTTCATTGGAGGGCCATTATATGGCTAGACATGTAATGACTATATGACATATAACACATATGACATATGACATATAACAGCATGCAGTTACAACATATGGGAGAGGACAACCCTTGCAGTGTCCTGAGACTTCATCATCAACTATACCCCTTGACAATCCCTTGGCAGGGTTTAACCCCCCTCCACAAAAATTGTTAAAGTCTCAAAACATTGGAGCCCTTACTTCAATGAGAAAAATATGATGCTATAGCCAAATCATGCCATTCTTATTCAAAATAATAATTTACTGTTGAAGACATGTGATTTTTCTTCTGGATTACAAGCGATTGAAGTTTTTTCTTGCTTTGAATGTGGAACATCTTGTTTTAACTACTTTTTGGTTAAAGTAACTAAAGTTGCGATTTTGAATTTTTCTATGCTAGAGACAATTTATTCCCAGATACCTCTTTGTGCTGTTAAAAAAAAAAAAACACAAAACAAAACAAAAACACAACAAACACACACAGCAAAAACAGGTATTTCATGCTGACAGGTTTTGCTTAATTTTCTGCCCTCTCCTTAAGTTAGCAGCTGTTAGAAGTCTAGTCCCGGATTCTTCATAGTCTTTAAAGCTGATTTGCAAATATCTTCATTTTCTATCTTAGGTTCTACTGACAATTCTGGCATTTAGGGCAGGAAATACAAAATGATGTTCTACCTATCTGATAACAAGCCCTCTGATAAAACAAAATCCCACCACATTTCCATTTGTCAGCTCTGAATGAACCAAACAACCAGCTTGTATTTAATTACATACACTGGACTGAATACTGAATCATACACTGGACTGAATACTGAATCACACCAAGCAGCAGCATAGATACATTAACATCTCTGTTTGCAGGGTGGAAGAAGGACTTACAGCACAATTAATGCATCTTGCTCTTTGAATCCCTAATAATACAGATGATTCATGCTGCTTAATTAATTTCTAGTGAAATAGTGAGGCCCTCGGGCCACATCAGAGCACTGATGTACCATAGTCATTTAAAAGAGTTTTAAAAGAGTTCCACAACAAAACTGAATCCAAAACATTGCTTTTTTTTTTTTTTTTTTTTTTTTTGGAATCCAGGTAAAAATCTGATTAAACCTAAAAAAGATCTCTGATCAAATAGAATCTGATTTTAAATACATCTGGTTTTGCTGACAGTCATTTTGCAGCCTTATGACACTTGTATATCACTGATATTAGGTCTTTATTGCTTATTTAATGACTTCATCAATTACTATGACAGTAAAAATGTATATAAAATACACTAAAATAGCTCTTGTCTTTTTTTTTTTTTTGTATCTTCCTGTTGCTGCTGCTTCGGTTTGTTTTGAAATTAGCTCTTGAAATGTTAACCAGAATGGAAAGTCTAATACAGCATATACTACCTGATTTTAACTCTAATAGCTATTAGATTATGAAGCAAAAGGACAGACGTGATTTTACTGGGCTTTAACTCTTGCTACAAAAGAGGAAATGCCAGTAAAATGTGTTTTGTTTGCATCAAACCAGTATCCTGAAACTCAGAAAGAAAAAAGGCAACTATAAATATGTATTAGCCTTAATACAGGACATCCTGCTTCCTCTGTTTCCCTTACCTTCTTTTTCTTCCTTGACTTACAAGTGGTGTAAATAAATAATTTGAAATCAGATGATGCATGAAATAGAAAAGGAATACACACAATCATCCCCAATATATATTCACACACATATACTAAGGGAAGTACTAAGCAGGATGTATATTCATAGAGATTTTTATTATTTAACCTTTGAATCAATTCCCTATTAAATTACCTAGTAAGGATTCACAAGAAGTAACGTACAGGACATACACTGATGAGACTGCATTTTCCACAGTGGTTTTTCTGGTATGTGGAGTATGGTGTATCTTCGTTAGCTTTAGCAGAGTTACTCGGGTATTACAGTTATTTCACAGAATCATGGAATCATCTAGGTTGGAAGAGACCTCCAAGATCAACTAGTCCAACCTCTGACCTAGCACTAACCAGTCCTCCACTAAACCATATCACTAAGCTCTACACCTAAACGTCTTTTAAAGACTTCCAGGGATGGTGACTCAACTACTTCTCTGGGCAGCCCATTCCAATGCCCAACAACCCTTTCGGTAAAGAAGTTTTTCCTAATATCCAACCTAAACCTCCCCTGGTGCAACTTTTGCCCATTTCCCCTCATCCTGTCAGCTTGCACATGGGAGAATAGACCAACCACCACCTTGCTACAGCCTCCTTTAAGGTACCTTTAGAGAGCAATTAAGGTCACCCCTGAGCCTCCTCTTCTAACAACCCCAGCTCCCTCAGCCACTCCTCATAAGACTTGTTCTCCAGACCCCTCACCTGCTTCTGAAAGAGACTGAAATCACATGCCAATTCTTCTGGTAACAGGGCTCCTGAGCTGTACGTGACTCCATATTCAAAGACACTTCCTAATGCCAGAGCAAGTACACAAGAATGGTGTCAAAAGGCATTGGTGTATATGAATGAAATAAATGGTAAAGCAGAAGTAAATGGTACAGATTTGCATCCACTGACATTTTCTTAAATGACCAGTGCATAAATAATCAGCATACAAAGCCTCTAGATGCATATTCAGAGGACAACGCCATATGTGAGTATGTTTGCCCATGTGTGTGCCATACAGTTGTTGAATGTATGTGGCATTTCTGAAGCAAAATAAAGGTGTGCAAACATCACAGGTGTAAAGTAATCGCTCAAATATTAACATTTTGCTTGTGAGTCAACTTGGACATCCAAGGTTTAATTACGAACGTATATCCAGGTCTGCTCTAATTAAAGTGCTAAAACAAAGTAACTTCTTTTACCATTCTGTAAATGTCAAAAAAGGTTATTGATACTACCCATTTACCCGAACACTTCCATATGCAAATTCTGCTTACTGGAAGTAATGGCTATTTGTTCCTTTTTATTTCTGTACTTGTAGGGAGTGTACATCTAGAGCAATCTTAAGGCAAATAAAGACTTGTCCCAGTTCTAACGTCATATTTATGAATCAGATATTTTTGCATTAAGTAATAATACTAACCCAAATAAAGTATTTTGAATGAAATATCAATAGTAGTAACCAGATATTTTTGGTATTTGTGAAATCAGTAATTTCTTAGTTATGGCTTGAGCTGAATTTATGACAGGAGAAAGGACTTTAATTGCAAGTAGTCAAGAGGCCCCACGAAGTTAATGACTGTGGTCAGCAGTAAAATGAAGCATATAGCAGGAGTGCAGCTTTTGGAAGGAGGCCATAGCTGGACGTGTGTACAAACAGGCTGAAAAAATACCACTGCTATGCTTTCCTCTAGAGACAGAGCTTTTTGCCCTCTTAGCCCATTTGTGGTTATCTTTTTTTTTTCTTTCTTTCTTTCTTGTTTTTTTTTTTTTCTTTTTGTATGAATGAACTGCACACTGAGAAGCCTAGAAGGACCTGGGGGTCCTGGTGGACAACAGGTTGACCATGAGCCAGCAGTGTGTCCTCGTGGCCCAGAGGGCTAATGGGATCCTGGCGTTCATTAAAAGGAGCGTGGCCAGCAGGTCAAGGGAGGTGATTCTCCCCCTCCACTCTGCCCTGGTCAGGCCTCACCTGGAGTACTGTGTCCAGTTCTGGGCTCCCTGGTACAAAAAAGACAGGGATCTCCTGGAAAGAGTCCAGCAGAGGGCCACAAAGCTGATACAGGGCCTGAAGCATCTTCCCTATGAGGAAAGGCTGAGAGACCTGGGTCTGCTCATCCTGGAGAAAAGAGGACTGAGAGGGGATCTCATCAATGTGTATAAATACCTGAGGTGTGGGAGACTGAGGGATTTGGCCAACCTCTTTTCAGTGTTTTGCAGGAACAGGACAAGGAGTAGTGGTCATAAGATAGAGCACAGAAAGTTCTGCACCAACATGAGAAAGAACTTCTTCATGGTGAGGGTGATGGAGCACTGGAACAGGCTGCCCAGAGAGGTTGTGGAGTCTCCTTCTCTGGAAATATCCAAGGCCCGTCTGGACACCTACCTGGGCAGCCTGCTCTGAGGAACCTCCTTTGGCAGGGGGGTTGGACCCAATGATCTTTTGAGGTCCCTTCCAACCCCTTCAATTCTGTGATTCTGTGAAGCTTCACAAAAAGTCCAAGTTGTCACTGAGAGGAAGGACGGATTTTGGCAATTACTTAGAAGGATATTCAGGCCAAGCAGGAAGTAGGAGGGAACAACCTCTAGTCTGGGGTTCCTTTGAGTCACCCCTTCTCCTGCTCTTCCCTCCCAAACCTTAAGGGCAGATTTATAAATTTCCTGGACCTGAAACCCCCATGGGCCAGGCTTCGCTGTGCTCACAGGAACAAATAACAAATTGCAAGGACACAGCAATGAGAACCAGCATCCAAAGCCACACTGCATCCCACCATGTGCTCGCTTACACCGTGAATTATGCTGCTGATGCCTTATTTATGACAGCAGCTTGGTCTAGATTTTACAGTATTTTGTCCATCTGCTCAGGTGTGAGTCACCAGGCATTATTCACTCCAAAGCAAAGTAAAACCAAATGATCAGTGGAAATGACAATACAGAAGCATTACTTTTACACCAACAAGTAGAAATGGGCCTATCATGAGGCAGCAAAAAACATCAAAAATTGGGGGAAAAAACAACAACAACAAAAAAAACAGTCTGTAGGTAGCTTCCCTGTTCTGCTGCCTCAGACGTTGCAATAAATTCAATGCAGCTATATCAGCAAGCATCATCATTGTGCAGTGCTTACACCCAGGTGAATGAAAGCAAAATCTGGACACAATTCACCAAACATCTATCTAACTTCTGTTTATTGGTCCATACATGATTATATTTCTCTCTGTCACATCAGCATATAATATTCTTTTCTGTCCCTCTCCGGCAAACAACCATCAAGTCATTCAAATAAATAGTCATTCAAATAAAGCTAGAGAATCCTAACTGCACAGTAATAATGATCAACCATTACTCCAATAACTAACTCAAAATGATTGATGTATCATGCTAACTGACAGCCATCCTAAAAAAGCTATTCTTTGTATGTCATCCCCAGAGATATTAGAAATAACTGGAGAGTAAGTTCATTTTAATTTCAAAAAGACAGAGAGGGATAAAGAGAGAGATCACTGGCCAAATATAATTTGTCTAGACTTCTCTGAAGACATTCCCACAATTAATGCAAACAGACTGGACCAGCATTTTCTGGACATTCTGTGGATGTTGTCACGCTCTGGTGCCCAGACAGAGCAGGAATAAGTATTAAGGGAAGGGGAATTGCTGAGGATTTATCTGGAGACAGCCAGGGAATACAATAAGCTGTCTGTCTTTCATAAATGTGGTTTGTTTTCCATCGTCTATTCTTGAAAGCATTGGACAAGTTTCTAAAAGGAGCTCTGTTACCTGGCCCCGTCAGTGACACAGGGTACAGTAAGTAATAATCAATACTACAACAAGTAATAGTAACCTGGTATGTGGATTTACAGCACTTACATCTTGGTAAACTTGTCTTTGTAACTAAAACTCAAGTGACTCAAATGATATGATTTTCACCTTTATTTTTCTTTTAAAAAATTCTGTTATATACCTCACTGGTCTATATTTAGTCTGTTGCAAACAGTATCAGCACAGCATGAGAAAGAAATAGAAACCTTAAACTGCATTACTCAGGACATTGTGCTAACAAGACAGCTTTATAACATCTAGAGCATATTCAGTCTGCATGGAGAACCTAGACGTAAGGGACTACCAGACATGATGTCTTTCCTCGCCCTGTCATAATGAGTGCTGGGAAGCTTTACATCCTCCATGCATGCAAGGGAAGCAGCTCTGAGAGAGGCTTAGCACCAGTGTAAAGGAAAGCATAATTGTAGTGGGATAGAGCTGCATTACTACAGGTTCAGGACAGGGTCCAGTTTTTCGTTTCTCTAGTTTCAACCCAGCACATCAAGAAAGACGCTGAAATAATCCACGCTCCCCATAATCCAATCACTCTTCTGTAGAAGATGAAACCCATCTCTGATGGGTTACTGAGCAAGGTGTCGACACAGCAGCAACATCTATTCACCAAGCCACAACTGACTGTACTGGTAGAAACCACTACTGGGACTCCCCAAACTCCCACCTCCCCCACCCCCCCAAAAAATATATTGCTGTAGAAGGTTTCAAGTGCATGTGCTAGCAAACTGTACTGTGCATGCCAGCTAATAACACCTCCTGGAGAGCCAAATCTCTTACCTGACTCCTTCATTGAGGTTGTAAAGTTCATGGTCCGGGAGACCCTTACGCTGGAACACGGCAATTACTCCATTGTGGATACTGAAAGAGGACAAGAGGAGTCATTAGCACTAGATCACATTTTAGAAGAGCATCAATTCCACAGTAAGGCAAATACATCTTTCCAGACACTGCAGAACATTTCTGAAAGGAACAGATGATTGCTGGTGCTCAGTCTCAGATGCCTTAAAGGAAATTGTTCTCTAGAAAATACATGACATTGTCGAAAATAATTTTTTTAAAATATTTTTTCCAACTTCAAAAGTTATACCTCTAAAATCAGTAATTTCAGAAAATTTAGGTTCATGTATTTTAGGTAATTTAGTATAATTTTTAGTACATTAATATATTAAGTATATTTTTGAATCTGTGAGCTCACTACAGAGACAATCAACGCCTTCACTGCGAGATCTGTGATGATCTTTCTGGCATTTTTGGTATCTGTTTGTCTGAGTTATGGTTTCCTGGTTTCCTGATTTCTTTATCAACAAATCAGCATTTGTCAAGTCTGGACACTGCACCTGAACTTTAATCCATAAATAACCCTTTACTAGAACAGGGTTACTGGAATCTCAAAAAAGGTTAGTTCTTTGAAAAAATATAAAAGGCGGAAACACTAGACAATTATGAATTTCAAGGAATTTAATCACTCTCTTATTACTTATCAGAAATGAAACAATAAATAGAAAAGGGCCATAATTTACAGCATTATTAGCTACAAAGACTGCTTCCTACTACCTTTTATTTCTCAAAAATGTATGATGTTGCTTCAGCTAAAGAAAAATCAAGGCTGCACTGAAAGAACACAAGTCTAGAGCTTCTAAGGCAGACAGCCTTACGAAGCAATGTGCTAGGCACAGGCCAACCATCTATCCTACAGAAATGCTCCCTTTTCATTTTCAGCATTATTTGTAACTGTTCTGTAAGCAGATGTTGCTTAGTGGTGGGTGATTTCTCCTGCAATCAGCCACAGCTGAAGACAGGATTGAGGGCAACAAAATCCTCTAGCTCAACAGAAAGTCACATACCCAACACCATCTATCCATGGGGCGGATGTCCAGCAGCTTTACAAATTCTAAGATGCGAATAGCAAAAACCTGCAAAGTGTTGTATGTTTTACAGGGCAACCCACATGCTTGGAGGGAGAAGGTGTTTTCTAATCCCATGAATTTAAGAAAACCACACCACAAAGGGTTATTGAAATGAGTAAGTGCTTCAAGATGAAGCTCTGAAACTCCTGAAACACATATGACATGATTAGCATGATGACACATCAGCCTAAACTCAGTTTAGGTCTGAGGACAAAGGTAAATGCCAACAAAAGGTGAGACCAAACCTGTTCTAGCATTAGCAGAAGGGAGGTATAAGTCTCCTCCCCTTCTCCAACCCAATGCCATCTTTTACAGCTTCTCAGCAGATTTCATCTTGGATTTCAAAGGAAAAGAAGACTCATGCAGCCCTTCTGTCTGTCAGCTAATTCTCTCTCTCCCCCACTCTTGGAGCAGCTTGGCAATTTCTACCACATTTAATCATGGAGCTATGTGTGAAATAAAGATGACAATCACTGAAGTTGTTTTTTTTTAAGATATAGTTATGAAATGTGTAATAAAAGCAAGAAGTAGTAGTGTGATTATCAATAGCAATATTACATGCCATCACTGTGGTTAATGGACAGCTTCTTCACATTTTCACTGCTTTTTCTTCTTCCCTCACAATCCCGTTGACCACAAAAGGAAAATACAGATATTGGGGTGTGGCTCTTCCTACTCAATTTTGCACCTGAGAAAACGAGATAACACCTTCGAAAAACGTTCTCAGCTTCTGTTCAGTTCTGAGCTTACTCAGCAAAAATACAGGGAGAAATCTTCTTGCTCTGCACCATCCATCTGCTTGTGCAGCTCTCATTCTGCATCCACCTCCCAGCCTGTACTCAGCAAGAGTGAGGAACAGCAGCAACCAGGGGTGCTCAGGAAGCATGTCTGGGGGCAACAAACTTGAATCTCACCCCTAGGATATCCAATGAAAAGATCTTACCACAATCAAAAGCTACACTGTACGCACCCTCCATGAGCTTTGGTTTTACCCATGACTCTGCAACAGTATTTTTTTGAGCTTTGCAACTGTCCTTCCGCTGTTCATGCTGTGCTGGAGTCTGATGCAGTAGAGCAACAACCAGCTTCTGAGCCCTGGAAGGCAAAACAGGCCCAGATTTGCCTGGAGGTACCGCGATTTGGGGTTGGCCTGTTGTCGTGGTTCCGCTTGAGTGGGCAGCCGAGCTCCACCACAGCCGCTCTCTCACTCCCCCTCCTCAAAGAGGAATGGGGAGAAAATATGTGAAAAGGGCTCAAGGGTTGAGATAAGGACGAGAAAATCACGCAATAATTATTGTAACGGGCAAAACAGACTCAGCATAAGAAGATAGTAAGATTTATTGCTCATTACTAACAAGCTAGAGAAGTGAGAAACAAAGGAAAGAAACCAAAAGCACCTTCCCCCCCCGTCCACCCTCTTCCACCTCCTCCCCCCCGAGCAGCGCAGGGGAACGGGGGAATGGGGGTTACGGTCAGTCTACAGCACTTCTTCTCTGCCGCTCCTTCTCGGTCACTCTTGTCCCCTGTGCTGTGGGGTCCCACCCACGGGATGCAGTCCTTGATGAACTGATCCGGCGTGGGCTTCCCACAGGCAGCAGTTCTTCCAGAACTGCTCCAGATATGGGTCTGTACCACGGGGTCCATCCCTCAGGAGAAAACTGCTCCAACCTGGCTCCCCCATGGGCAGCAGCTCCTGCCAGGTCACCTGCTCCTGCGTGGGCTCCTCTCCACGGGCTACAGGTCCGGACTGGAATCTGCTCCGGCAGGGGTCTTCCACAGGCGGCAGCCTCCGTCGGTGCAGGGCCACCTGCTCCACCGTGGTCTCCTCCACGGGCTGCAGCATGGAACCCTGCTCCACCATGGTACTCCATGGGCTGCAGGGGGACATCCTGCTTCACCATGGTCCTCACCACAGGCCGCAGGGGACTTCTGCTCCGGTGCCTGGAGCACCTCTCCCCCTCCTTCTACACTGACCTCGGCACTTGCAAGGCTGTTCCTTACTCCCTTCACTCTCCCAGCTGCTGTGTGGCACAGCGTTTTTTTCCCTGTCTTAAATATGCTCTCACAGAGGCGCAAAACAACATCGCTTATTGGCTCAGCTCTGGAAAACAATGGGGCCCTTCCCAAATATGGGGCAGCTTCTAGATCTTTGTCACAGAAACCACCCCTATGGCCCCCTGCTACCAAAACCTTGCCACGTAAACCCACTACGCCTGTCTTGTGAAGAAGAGCTAAAGGTGAGTTCTGTTCATAAGGTCTCTCCTTCCTGCTGGTAGGAAAGCTCAGTAGGCCTTCCAGATGGATTCAACAGCATCCTGCAAGTCCAAGAGATCACTGCAGCATCACAGCAAGGCTTGATATTTGCCTGCTTAGAGGGGGATGTGGAGGGTGCATGGGGATTGCAGGCACTCATGTCAAACCTTCTCGGGTCCACAATTAAGACAACCCCTTCCAATGCTTGCTGGGAGCAGAGGAGGGGGCTGGCAGGTAAAACTATGCTATTTGCTGACAGATTAGAACAGCAGACCCAACAACACTGAACAGCAAAGAGAAGCACTGCCAGAAAAGCTCATTTGCATCCATCTGTGGAAAAACAAAATTAAAAGCAGCAGGTGAAGGATATGACCCACTGTGGAGAAATGCACAAGCAGATCAAAATAGGAATCTTTATCCTCTGCTCTCTTTTGCTCTTTGACAAGGTGTTAAGCACTCTCCTGCACACAGTGGTCCTACTTTCCCTCATGTACTTACATGCACAGACACACACTGATCGTCCAACCCAGCTTATTGTGGCTGCCTTAAACAGCCACATTTCTTTTTGGTTATTTGAAAATTGGCAGCTAAATGTGTCTGGTATACAGTGAAGCGACTTGGGTATTTTAACATTATGAGTCATATGCGAAGTACGATTAACGTAGTGAATAAAACAAGCAGTCTTTATATGCTCTTCTGATTCGGAAATGAACTTTGCAATCTTCCCCACCATCCTTTTGCAGAGAAGAATGACTAAATCTTTCCTAAAACCCAGTGTGCTCTCTCGCTTTCTCTCTGGCACTCCTTTCTAAACGAGGGGGAGGTTTTCTCTTTCCAGCTTAGCAGGTCCACTATTATTCCTCAAACAGATAACGCAGAGCAGGATTTTTTAATGAGAACTACAGGGAACAGGCTGCAAGCATCTAAGTTATTACCTGTGTAATAGAACTGCTCCTACTTAAAACATCCTAGTGGTGATCTTCTCATCTGCCTTGGACCTTCCTTGTAGTGATGGAAGGCTGCCTTGTCCACAAAACAAGTCTTGGCCCTGCTGCACTGACCAACTGCCCTTCCTTCCCACATCAGACAGTAGTGCTTTCGTGCTAGGATGAATGTCCCAGCCTACAGGCAGTGTGGGCATGCCATTGTGATCTCAACACTTGCTTGGGAGGCAACAAAGAGGATTCAGAATAAAAGGTATGCTATCAGCAGTGTAAGTTGGTGTCAGTATAATAAAAAACTAGCTAAAATCCTCTTAGTAAGCGTAAGCTAATGAAAAGAAACAAAAACCCAAACAACCCTTGCTTAAATCAAAGTAATGCTATGGTCTTGTACCAAGAGACACATTTTCCACATAAGTGCCAATGTACTCTCCTACTCCTGCAGCACCACACTTCCTCCTGTTTAAGGAAGTGACCAATTTCTACAGGACCCCAATCAGTATCTTCTGGTGGAGAAGGGGACTAGGAAGCTCTGTGCACCTGAGCAGTGCACATTTGAAACAAAATACACCACTCATAGAATCATAAAGGTTGGAAAAGACCTCCAATGGCACTTCTTGAAAGCACAGAATCAATGCATATGACAGCTCCTCAACTGGTATGTGTCCATGCGCTAAGACACATTGTGTGGGCAACTTTTCATACAAATGTATGGTATGGGCCATTCTTGGTCTAAAGACGATGGCTGGTATCCGCA